TTTTTTTTTTTTTTTTTTTTTTTTTTTTTTTTTTTTGAGAGGTTTTTGCTATAGGGCGCATGCGCTTACCAAAAAGACAGAGAGAGACAGAGAGACAGAAAGTGAGAAATCATCCCCCCAGGGGGGATGGCCACACCACAATCCCTTCTTCTCCATTCTCCTCTCAGGATCTTAGGCACGCACATACAAGTGCCTGGTGTGAATTTAAGCCACCAGGTCCAGGACTCGAAACGTGGTCGACTACATGGGAGTCCAGCAACAGCCATTGCGCTAACTGCTAGTCCCCCTCTCTGGCATTTCTGTCTGAGGCAAAGGGAAGAGAAGGTCGTGTTTTTCCTTCCCTTGGGCAGGAGGGATCCTGCCATGAAGTGTTAGGTGGCAGGGCCTGTCTCCTGCCTCTGGGGGTGCTGTGTTGACAGGGTTTCAGATTTGGAACCAGATTGTAGGTCTCCTTATACGAGAAAATCATTCCAACAGATCCGATGTCTCTGAGCTGCTTCACTAGGATCTCCACTTCCATTTAATAAAATATTTACAGACCTATTGAATTCCGGTGGCACTTTGCAGTTAGTGATACTACCGAGTTGGGCCCCGTAATACACTTCCATTCCCAAGTGCCTCGCATGAGCTGTTACTGAATGTGGGTCATTAGAACACCTCGACTCCTACTGGGATTATTTTTTAGAACCCAAGTTACAGAGCGTTCATAGGAATGACTATTTAGCCCCCCCAACGTGAGTTTCAAAAATTTTTACATATTGACCTTACATTTCTTTTATATTCACTCCTTCCCCCATAGAATAAAATTCACGCTGCCTTCTTGGTTCAACTGCACATCAATTGCTTGCTATCGATTTAAAATGAAACAACCCTGAGGGTTTTCTGCAGTCACAAGCCTTTTTTTTTTTTTTTTTCCCCAGTACACAGTCCTTTTTTCTAGTAGAAGGAGAACAAAGACACAGAGTCCTAAAGTGGCTTGCATGCAGCCGCTGTTGACCAGAATAAATGGTACATGGGATGAAATATCTCTCTGTGACAGCAATAGTAGTAGCCTTTTTGGTGTAGATTTCAAAAAAAAAAAAAAAGGAAAGAAAAAAAGTCAGCCTAGTTTTTGTAGTGTAAAACTGGCTGCATACAACTGAGGCCATTTGAGGAGGAAGCGGCTGTGTGGTTATGCATTTATCAGCTTAAGACTGTTGTTCAGTAATGATGCTAACAGTGGCTGTCTGAGGGGTCCTTCTCTGAGCAGGTGCTTGGTCTGCACAGCAAGTGGGGCCCAGAGCCTGCAGACTTCTCTGAGAGTCACACCCGGGTGGCTTTGCTGCCACCCCACCCCATCACTTCAGTTTGCTGCAATTATGTGAGGTCAGACCCCTTTCTACCCATCACCTTGTGTTGGCACTGCCTTTAAGCATGCCCGTGTAGACACACAGAGCCACGCGATGACACGGCTTCACGGGGACTAGGAGTAACAACCCCTCTCGCTCCTCCGAAACTTGGACTTCCTCCGTCGAGTTGGAATTTGAAACCTGGTGTGGTCGAGTACAGTGTGGGTTAAACGTGGCTAAGCTGATGCCTGAAAAGTGGCACACCTTCCAGGCTGCTTTTTCAGGTGGGTCTCACGGCTACCTTTGTTTCTTACAGTTTTATGCGCTGAAAGAGTTGGCCAGATGACCAAGACGTATAATGACATAGATGCGGTAACTCGGCTTCTCGAAGAGGTGAGTGTTCTAGGCTCCTTGTTGATCGGCCGTAATTTTTATTGACGAAGACGTATATTTCTTATCTGTTTCGGTGAGAATCTTGGAAATTGGGCCCTCTCCGAGTGTAATTTGATGGCTTTATCTTTTGAACTAGTGGCTGTGTAACCCTTTGTAGCTAAAACTTCATTCAGGTATTTTAGATTTTTAAAGAGATTTTTTTTTTTTTTTGAGTTTTTTGCTATAGGGCGCGTGCGCTCACCAGACAGAGACAGAAAGTGAGATATCACCCCTCAGGGGGGATGGCCATGCCGCAATCCCTTCTCCTCCATTCTCCTCTCAGGATCTTAGGCACGCACACACATGCGCCCGGCGTGAGTTTTAAGCTACCATGTCCGGGACTCGAACCGCAGTCGACTACATGGGAGTCCAGTGATATAACCATTACGCTAACTGCTGGTCCCATTAAAGGATGTATTAACAACACAAAATATGGTAGCTTTTAAGTAGTTGCTAGATACCCAGTTTAAAATTAAAAAGAAACCCTGAAATGTTTTTCAACTCTTTCATATATATATATTTATATATATATATAAATTACTAATTTATTATTTTAAATTTTATTTATTATTATTATTATTATTTTAATTTGACCAGAGAGAAACAGAGAGAGGTGGAGGGAAAGCAAGAAGGCAAGCTGCCAGGTCCAGGACTCGAACCACAGTTGATCATGTGGGAGTCCAATTCCTTAACCACTGTACGCTTGCCCACCTCATATCTTTTGTTTTTAATTACCAGAGAAAGAGAGCTAGAGAGAGAGAGAAAGGGAGAAAGACCCCTCCCCAATGGGGTGCGGTCATGCCACAATCTCTTCTCATCCATTTCTCCATCCTGTTGGGGATTTGGGAACATACATGTACTGTGTGTTTTCCAAGCCTGTGGGGCCAGGGTTTGAATCCCCATCACCCACATGAGATCTAGCTCCCTTAACCATTGGGTTATAGGGCTGGTCTACTCATCGTTTATTTTTAAGTATACCAAATATGTCATTATCCGTGTCTTCCTAATGTATTTTAGGTTTTGCTTATAGCACTCGAGTGGGGTATTATCCAGCGTCAGCAGAGAAATAAGCAAAATAAGCATGCAAGAAAAATTGAGGAGAGTTGCGTAGGTTGGGTGCGAGCTTGTATTTCAGAGGCTGTGGTTTCCTCGCTTTTTTTTCTCGGGATTCCTCTGC